TTTTTTTTTTTTGGAAATTTGAAATAAACATGACGTATGATTCCCAACTCATTGTACATTTCGTTAAATTTACCTCCTCCCAGTCACTTTCTCAAAGGGGAGCTTGAAATCATCTTCTTGAATGTTCAGTCACTCATGTACGTCAAAAGAGGCACATAATTTTACAGCAATATCTTATATGCCTCACACATCTGAAGACGCATGACATTGCACGACGAGTGATCAAACACAAAAAAGGAAAAAATATTGAGAAAAATAAAAATACTGACAAGAAGGAAGAAAAAACAATCAAGCACTAAACCCAACAAGTCCAGAAAGAGCCCGAAAATATCTCCAGAATTTCGATTAACTCCAGCCGCATCCTGTTCAGCAGCCAAACGCATCCTATAGGGGCGCATCCTCTCCCGGCTCACGAACCTCCTTCCTTGTTGAAATCATTCAAACATCATAATAAGTTTATTCAAACATCATATTTTTTTACTAAGAAAAATCTTGAACGCTAATTAGTTTATTCAAACATCAGAATTAGTTTCTTTTTTTGTTAGACAGTTTTTGAAAGCTTATCTTACTTTAGTGTAGAACTTATTCTATACATTTTTTTTTTTTTTTTTTTTTTTGTGCAAGAAATGGAGGCTACCCAGAGCCTAAACTAGAACTGACCGAGGATGGACACGCCAACTCTATCATGGTGTAACTAAACGCTCGCCCCCGACGAAGGGCTCGCCAACCTTTGAAGACCAGCAGGACCCTTTATCGCCAATGAAGCCAAGTAATCTGCCAAAAAGTTGGCCTCTCGATAACCATGATTAATGACCACCGCCCACGGCCGACAATATGAATATTAAAAACTAATTATTTTCATTATACTCAATATGAATTTTTACCTTATTTTCTAATTATTTTAAGTTAATTAAATAAAAAAAATATATTTCAATGAAATATATTATCTTACACATTTTTAGTTATTTAAATTATCAATATATGATTGAAAAAAACACAATTAAAGCAACAATTTTTATATCAAGATTATTAATTATTTTTTAAGATTATTCAAGTATTTCCTACAACATCAAAAAGATTCTTAATGACTAATCTAAGTCTTAGAATTGTTATGAGATGACAAGTTTATTCTTTTACTAAAAATATATATAGTTGTTAAAGATTACTTTATTTAGCATTAATATTTACAATAAATAAATTTAAAATAAAGTTAAAATTAAATTTTCAGTTTTTAATATTATATAGATTTATATTATAAAATCATTATATAGAAATATTACATAAAAACATTATATATAAACAAAAGTAGGTGTAATATTAAAAATAAAAAGGTAAACACGGTGCATTTCCGCTGAATTAATTATTCAACCATCATAATTAGTTTTTTACAAATTTGTATCCAATAGTTCGCACTACATTAATATTACATTTTACTCTAATTATTAATTTTAATAACAAAAATATAATTTAATAAAATATATTATCTTACATATATAATTATATAAATTATCAATGTATGATTAAAAAAGTACAATTAAATACAATATTATTTATATCAATAATATTTTATTGTTTAAAAGATTACTCAACTATTTCCTACAACATCAAGAAAAATATTATTTTATTTTTTAGAACATTAATTAAATATTTCCTACAACTTAAATAAAAATTATTTCATTGTTTAGAAGCTTAATCACGTATTTCCTATAACAACATGAAAGTTATAGTGATTTTTAATTGGTTGAGTAATAGAATTGTTACTAGATGTCAAGATTACTTTATTTAGAATTAATATTTACAATAAATAAATTTAAAATAAAATTATAATAAAATTATCAAATTTTAATAATATATAGATTTATATTATAAAACATTATATAAAATTATTATAGGAAGAGAATGAATTTTGCACTAACACACAAATCTGGCGAAGCGCTACCCATCCCCCTAAACCCATTAACCCTTTCTATAAAACTGTGAAAAGACGTTTAAAACCCTAAACCCCTTCTCTGTAAGATGTAACAGTCCAAGTAAAAAATTTGAAGGCGCCAAACGACCCAATGGCAAACAAAGAAGAACACATGATCGACCAAAGAAAAGAAGAAGAATAAAAGACTAATTACATCGCCATGCATTCAACGAGTCCAGCACATCTCAAGTGCGAATAGATCTTACGTAACACATCGCCATGTAACGAATGAGGCCTTAATTCTTGAACCCGAGCCATATGAGTAACACGATTGCAATTTGCACTCAGCCGACGAATTCCCACCAACCGAAAGTTGATTTTTTTTTTTTTTT